GATCTTGGGCTTGCCAGCTTCTGCAGCTGTGTGACTTGGGAGAGGCCTCTACCCTGATCCATGGACTTGGGACGTTCTAGCCTCTACAATCACGTGAGCTGTTTCTTTGATATAATCTCTCTCTATATATATATATTTATACACTTTACTGGTTTTGCTTCTCTAGAGAACCCAGCCTAAGACAGGTATTATCAGAGAGAAAGAAAGACATTGTGTAATGATATAAGAATCAATTCAAGAAGATATAACAATTATAAGTTTTTATGTACCTAATAACAGAACTTCAAAATGTATTTAGCAAAAATTGGCAGATTTAAAGGGAGAAAAAAATTCACAATCACAGCTGAAGATTTTTACACTCTCAGTAACCAATAGTAACACTAGACTAAAAATCCAGTAAGAATCTAGAAAATTTGAACAATACTACCATACCAACTTTATCTACTGACATTTACAAAGCAATACACCCAATGAGAACAAAATAAAATTCTATTAAATTGCAACTCTAACATTCACCAAGATAAATTCAATAAAGGTCAAATTAAAACCCTATAGAACATGTTCTTGACTATGACAAATTTTAATAAGAAATCAAAAACAAAAGATATCTAGAAAATCCCCCAATATTTGGCTATTAAACCACATATTTCTAAATAACCCAAGGACTACAGAAAGAAATAACAAAGAAAATTAGAAAATATTTCAAATTAAAACATAAAAAATGACATATCAAAATTTGTAGTATGAAACCAAAGCAATGCTCAAAATGAAATTTGCAGCTTTAAATATTCACTTTAAAAAATAAGAGATTTAAAATCAATAATCCAACTTTCTAACTTCAGAAAAAGAGAAAATTAAATTCAAAGTATAAGCAAGAAAATAATGAGAGAGGAAATCAATGAATTATGAAAGACAAATCAATAGAAAAAATTAGCCGAACAAAAAAGTTGATTTTTAAAAGATTATTAATAAAACTCTTACAAGACTGATCACAAATAATAGAGATAAAATACAAATTACCAACAGCAGGATGAAAAATGAGCCATCATTACAGATCCTACAGACAACAAAAGGAAATTAAGGTGGTGGAACAGTGGTTAAACACTTGGCTGCTAACCGAAAGGTCAGTGGTTTGAACTCACCAGTCGCTCTGCTGGAGAAAGATGTGGCAGTCTGCTTCCATAAAAATTTACAGCCTTGGAAGCCCTATGGAGCAGTTCTACTCTGTCCTATAGGGTCACTATGAGTCGGAATTGACTCGATGGCAATGAGTTTGCGTTTTTTGGCTGGGGGGGACTGGATTAGTTTCATGTCAATTTAGCTAAGCTGAAATTCTGTTTCCCAGAATTCTCTTTATTGCATAATTCTGGATTTGTGTGGACCACACAAGAAATGGTGTGAGAAAGGCAGAAGTGAATCAGATCAGAAAGTTGGTGCAGAGTAGGAGGTGCAATTGCAGCTCATACATATTGTCATTTATCGGCTGGCTCACCTTGTTAGCATGGGTCAGCACCTGGGCCTGCAGCTCTTTCCAGCTCCTGCCAGTTTTCCTCCTTCAGCTTTTTTGACTCCTGAGCCAGATGTATATTTAGCACTGTGACAAATGGTGCCAGCTTCTTCTGTTGGGAGTCTTAGAGGTAATGAGAGCCCAATGTGGGTTCCAGTTCATCCTCATGGCTTCCATCTCATTCCTGCAGGTTTCAGTTTGTTCTTGCTTCCCCCACTGCACATTCACATCTTCCCAACTGCCCTCCCTACGGACTTTTGGCTCCAGAACCAGACACAAAAGCAACAGTCTCACACAAACTGTTCAGCCAGCTTCCATATTTATATTAAGTCAAATATTCATATAGTATTCAAATGTATAACATATATGTAATATGTATCATGCATGTATATGTGTATACACACACTCACATATATACATATATATCTCTTAGTGATTCTGCTTCTCTGATTAAACAAAGGGAATGTTATAAATAGCTTTATCTTAATAAATTTGACAAGTTAGAAGAAATGGACAAATTCTTTGAAAGACACAAGTTATACAACTTAAGAAAAAATAGATAACCTGGTAGTCCTATATCTATTTTAAAAATACATAGATCAATGGAACAGAACAGAGTTCAGAAAGATATCTATACATACACAGAAAAATACTTTTCAACAGAGATGCCAAAGTAATTCAGTGGAAAAAGAAGTATTTTCAACAAGTGGTGCTAATACAATTAGGTATACATATGGACAGATATGGAACTTGATCCCTACCCTGACACACACATACAAAATTAATTTGAGATAGATCATAGATCTAAATACAGTTTCTAAAAGAAAATACAGGAGAAATCTTTGTATCCTTGGAATAAAGCAAAGATTTCTTAAGATACAAAAAGCACTGTCCATTAAAGAAAAACTTGACAAATGGACTTGATCAAAATTAAAAACTTGTGCTCATCAAAGACACTATAAGGAAAACTGAAAAGCAAACCACAAACTGAGAGAAAATATTCGCAATGTATGTATCTAACAAAGCACTTACACAAAGCATTAATAGAACACCAAATAACCCAACTAAAAAATGGGAAAAAGACTGGAAAAGACACTGCATGGAAGATATACCAATGACTAATAAGCACATGATAAAGGTGCTCAAAATCATTAGTATCAGAGAAATGCAAATTAAAACCATGAGATAGCATTTCACACTTACTAGAATGACTAAAATTAAACAATGACAATACCAAATATTGGTAAGGATGCAGAAGTTTTGGAATTCTCATTCATTCATGGTGGGAGTATAAGATGGTACAACCACTTTGAAAAACAGTTTGAGTATTTCTTATAAAGTGATACCCTACAACCCACTCTTAACTATTTTACCCAAAAGAATTGAAAACATTTGTTCATAAAAAGATTTGTATAAGAATGTTTATAGCTTTATTCATAATAACCAAAAACTAGAAACAACTCAAATGTCCATGAACAACACATAAACACATTATGGTATTGTCATACAAAGAATAAACTACTGATACATGTAACCACACAGATGAATCTCAAAACATTATGTCAAGTGAAAATAGTTAAGTATGGAAGAGCACCTTCTGTCATAATTCCATTTATATGAAGTTCAGCAACAGGCAAAACTAATCCCTGGTGATAAAAATCAGGAAAATGCCTACTGCGGGTTTGGGTTAACTGGTAGTGGAACACGTGGAAACTTTCTGCAGTGATAGAAATGTCCCACATCTTGATTAATTTGTTACCGTTGAGTCAATTGTAACTCATAGTGACATTATAGGACAGAGTAGAACTGCCCCACAGGGTTTCCAAGGAGCGGCTGGTAGATTTGAATTGCCGACCTTTGGGTTAGCAGATGAGCTCTTAACTACTGCGCCACCAGGGCCCCACATCTTAATTAGGGTATTGATTAAACAGGTGTCTACACTTGTCAAAGCTCATCAATTTGTACACTTAAAATCTGTACAATTCACTGTTACCTTTTTTATTACTTTCCATTTTAGAAAATAGAATTATTCTTAATTAATTAAAACTTTCTTTACATTTCTTTCATATTTCTCAATGACTTTTTTCTCAAACATTTAAAAAAAATTTATTGTTGTAAAAATAATATTAAAAAAATCCTTATGAAAATTTCAACATTCACCCAAAGGATGAAATTGTATTTTCCAAAGCAGCACATTTTGAAAAACACTCTAAGAGAACTTTTTCTGTAATCATTTAAATGGGGTTAATGAAGACTCCGTAAGTTTACAGGTAAAAACTTAAATGTCCTACAAAATTTAGTGAGATAAATATTGCTCTGAAATGTTAAGAACTTCAATAAAATACTAGACTATGTGTGTTTCCATCCACTACAAATTGGTTTTGTGATGCTATAAACATCTTTAAACAGAACAATCTGAAATAAAGATTTAGAGAAACAGAAAAAGGTAACAGGAAATAACAGAAAGCTGAAAACAGAGTAAAATGAAGGAACCATACCTGTTGGGAGAGGTATATATATCCTTTTTTCTAATCTCCTTCGCAAAGCTTCATCAATGTCCCATGGGAAATTAGTAGCAGCCAATACCATAACCATTTTGGAAGGATCATCATTTTCTAAAGCTCCTCCAACTCCTGTACACAGTAAGAGAGAAGAAAGATACAGTATTTTTCTGTATTCTGTATTTCTGTAGTCCTGTATTCTGACATTCAACTGACAATTCAAGTGTCAGCCACAGTGCTCGGTGGGAGGGTGCAATGATGACAATAATGCAGTCCTTCTGACCTTGGCCAAGGAGCTTGGGGGGGTGGGGAGTGCAGACCCAGACACACCTACCAACTGAGAACTACAGAACAAAGAGGTAGAAGGATTCATGTAATCTATTCAGAATTTTAATCATGTAAGAAAAACTAATTTTTTTATGTAAGAAAAGAATATATATTTCCTCTGGAAAGAAAAGGGATGAGGGATTAGGCTGTTTTATTCCTTTCTTATTATTTTTTTAATCATGAAGTTCTTAAAAACTATTTTTTTTTTGTTTTTTAGTCTAATTTACTTGATTTTCTCAGAAGAGGGTTCACATTTATTTAATATACTAGCATGCAACTGTAATTCTGAAAGACAGTTACACTACAATAGTTTTGTCCTTCAAACTTTTAAGTGACTTATAAAAAATAAACAAGGAAAGAAATCTAAGAATGACCCGAGTAGTAAGTGCTGGAAACACTACTTCCTTTTATAACCAAACAGAACTTATGTGCACAGGGTCTATTTTTTCAGAATTAAAAATTTTACATAAAAAAAAACCAAAAACACCTTCAAGTAACATAACAGAAACCCAGGCAAATATATAGTAAAAAAAAAATAACAAAAATTCACAAGCTGTTGGGAAGGGGAGGGGAATGGAAGGGCACTGCTTAAGGGGTACGGAGGTTTTAAGGGTGATGAAAAAACAGGGAATCAGTGCTGATGGTTACACAAAATGGTGAATGTAATTAATGACACTGAATTGTACATGTAGAAATGGTTGAAAAGTTTTGTCACATGTACTTCACCACAATAAAAGTTTTTTAAAAACCTGAGCAAACTTTGCTAAGATTTTAACACACTGCATAGTTTTTCAAACTTAGGCCAATTCATTTCCATACAAACAAACAAGCAAACAAAACCTCACAAACTTTACTGACAATAGTTTCCAGCCTGGCATACGAAAGTAGTGGATTTAAAACAACCTAATTCAATATAGTATTTTCTTAATAAACTATTACTACGCCCCTATCTCAATCATTATCACAAAGAATCAAGCTGTCTAAATAATAATCAGCAACAGTGGCAAATGCCCCTCAATGAAATTCAGCTGACTAAATTTGTATTCAGTAATTTTTTTTAAAATTTTAAACACCAAATGTGCTTTCCCCTATAACCCTATGCCAAAATATTACAGTCACTCCTTTCTCTCATGCTTTAGCAAATTTTAAAACTGTTAACTCATTAAGTGAAGGGACTCATAGTACATTACTTTATGTATCTTATAGCACCTGGCACTGTGTTCAACACACATGGTAAGTATTTAACCAAGTATCCCTGTCTCGTAGCTAACCATGGCTGGTTAGAAACAATACACTCCGGATATTTTCTGACACATTTCACCTTGTCTGATGGTTGCTCACACAGCCTCCTGTTCACAACTACCAGAGTAATCTCTCTAGAAAGCAGCTCTAAACTCGTCACTCTTCCTTCAATGGCTCCCAGTGCCTTCCCTTTTGTCTGGATATCGCCTACCAATCCTTCAACACTAAACTCAGCTATCCCCTCCCCTGACTCCCTTTGTCTGTGTGGCTCCTCTCTCTCTTATTGTGTTTTCACTGCACTCAGAGTTTATTTCTACCACTGAACTCATCATCATTTATTGTAACTGTCTGGTCAGTTGACTGCTTCTCATCTAATCAGTAGTTCTCAAACTTTTTGTCTCAGGACCCTTTCATACTCTTAAAAATTAACAGGAAATCCAAAAAGCTTTTGTCTGTGTGGAGTGTATCGATTAATATTTGCCATTAGAAATTAAAACTGGAGGAGAGGGCCAAGATGGCTGAGTAGTGAGACGCTTCTGGTGGACCCTCGAACAACAAAGACCCGAAAAAACAAGTGATTCCATTATATACAGCAATCTGGGAGCCCTGAACAACAAAGGCAGAGTTGAGGAACCGGACTGAGTGGCAGAAGGGGGGAGACATGGTTCGGAAGAAGCAAGGAGTTGCCAGACGTGACCCGGCGAGAGCCTAAGCCCTTCAGGCCTGATCAGCTCAGGGGTGAGCAGTGAGGCAGGCAAACCACCATACACAGGAAGCGCATTTTCCACACCGGGAGAGACCCTGCGCCAGAGAGTCTACACGGCCACCCAGAACCAGTGAGAAGCAGCCCTCATCGGCGAGAGATAAGTAATTGCGTAGGGCTTACTGCGTGGATCAAAAACACCCCCCTTAGAGAAAAAAGTCTCTACCATTTACGTCCCCACTCCCTGCTCTGCACTGGGTCCCGGACAACCTTCAGCAATTGCCGGGTCCCCTGGGCCGGAAGTAGGATAAGTCACACGCCTGGAGCCACGCTTCCTGCCTTGGAGAGCGAACAAATAAACAAATGGGAAAAAACAAACTGCCGTCTCCCCTAAGCCAGGAACCCATGGTAGGCACAGCTCCTTTGCCTAGCCACAGGCATAAGGGATCCATGGACTTTGAGTTCCCTTCCCCGTACATAGACTTGCGTGGGCCAATTTCAACAGTGTAGGCCCTCATTACCACGGTACAACAGGGTATATACCGGAAGTCTAACTTCAACTGTTTCAGCAGTGAAGTGGCAGGTTCTTGACTTTTGACACTGCTCTGCCCATTAAGCAGGGTCTTCACCTACCCACATCAGGGGCCTGAGGACTGGTGGCTCCACCCACGCCACCTAGCCACCTGTGATAGGGGCCCATGAATAAGAGGTGCCCCCCAGTCCTTACAACCAACAGCATTAGGTGCTCACAGTCTGGCTGCAAAACCCACCCACCTACGCGCTCTAGGGAACAGGGACATACTTTTCTCCTGGACACTCAGGGGTGGCCATCAGCCCCCTGTCTTGCTCAGAGTGTGTCTGCCTGCTGCAGCCAGATGCCTGGGCCTACACCAATCACCCATGCCTGCCTAGGACTGTGAGAGCCTATACCACGCACTTGGTGGCTATCTACCTGCACACCTGAGCTGAATCCATACAGGAGGAGCGGGTGGACTCCTGAGCTCACATACCTAGTAACAGATCTAACCACCTGGTGACAGGACATTAGAGCTTCAAA